AGACCAGTAACTCTGGGTCACTGGTCAAGCACCTGCTTTGCATGCAGAAGGTCCCTGGTTCAATCCCTGGATGTTAGGGACTGGCTGGATGAAGAAGAGTGGTGGGAGCTGCCCACTCAAGAGGGCACAGAAGATGACGATTGAGATCCTGAATCCTGGTGGTGGGATACCGGCCACACCTCAGAGGAGGGGACAAGCTGGGAGGTCCTAGATGCAGGAAGCATGAGGGATCATGGAGAGGCAGAAGCAGGCAGGTGGTCCAACGCAGGGCAGGGTGAGGAGGTTTCCAGTTTGGATGCAGGCTCTGATAGAGGCAACAGAGAGGGGCAGGACCCTGCATCTCCCCCACAGCACCAACAGCCTCTCAGCTGAAGGCTCTCCAACACCACTGACTCACAGAAGGATGTTACATGTAGCTGAGCAATGGGCCATATGGGCGCAGAGAGAGGCTCCAGCTGCTTACCGTAGCAGAAGATTACAGGGGAGGTGCTCTGACTCAGATAGCTAGAGAGTGAAGGAGAGTTCAAGCAACTTCTTCATGAGGGGGGTTGCCTTTATGAGCCTCTTTGTATTTTTTCCCCTTTCCCTAATAAAGAAACTAACTGTGTTAGCCTCGCTTCTCCATCTCAGACCTGTGAATGACCTGATCATCATGTCAGGCCCTTGACACTGGCATCTCCAGGTATGGCTGGGAAAGACTTGCATTATGAAATCTTGGAGAGCTGTTGTCAATCAGAGTCAGTCAGTACTGAGCTAGATGGACCAATTAAGCAGCTTCCTATGTTCCACATAGAATATTCTCTTTTTATTTATTTATTTATTTAAATTTTATTAACATATAAAACACATATACATATACATTTACACAATACACAATACACATGCACAACACACTACCTTATTTTCATAACATAAAACATACCTACATTACTCTATATAATGCCTACCTATACTGTACATATCAACATACCTACACACCTACTCCACACAGACACCAACGAACTTCCAGCCGTTCTTGTTACGCTACTTTATTTTTCTAACTAGCTTAAATGCATTTCATTATTTCTTTAATCTCTTCTTCTATCTTGACTTTACTCTCCTTTCACTCAAATCATTTTCTGGATTCACTCACTATCTGTCAGAAATTCTACTTTTTCCGCATAAATTTTGATGTATTCCTTAAAGATAGCCCACTCCTTATTCACTTTTTGTACCATATCTCCTCTTATCCTCCCTGTTGGTTCGGCAATATGGAAGTATTCCATCATTTTAGATAACCAGTCTGTTTTAGTTGGGGAGCTGCTACTTTTCCAATTTTTGGCAATCAGTAACCTTGCCACCGTAGTTGCATACATAAATATTGGTCTGACCATTCTTTTTATTTCCTCTGACATGATTCCTAGGAGAAAGGATTCTGGGTTTTTTTCAAATGAAAATCTAAACATCTTTTTCAGTTCGTTATAGATATTTTCCCAGAATCCTACTATCTCTTTGCACTCCCACCACATATGTAGAAAGGTTCCTGCCCCATTGTTGCATCTCCAACAGACATCACCACTGTTTTTATACATTTTTGCAAGTCTGACCGGGGTCAGGTACCATCTGTATTGCATTTTCATTACATTCTCTCTTAAATTATAGCATGCCGTAAATTTGATATCTCTTTTCCACAGCCTTTCCCATTGGCTCTTCATAATATTTCCCCCTAAATCCTGGGTCCACTTTACCATCACTGTTTTCACATGTTCCTTCCACATAGAATATTTTCATGTGGTGGGAGCGGATGAGACCCTTGAATGCAAATAGCATAAAAATCCATATGCGCCACAAGCACTTGTTCCCACTCCCGCTGCAAATATGTAACTGATGAAGCCAGGCTGCTTCATCAGTTATTGCAGCTGTAATCTGCCACTATGCTGCTCTCAGTTACATTTGCATGGAGGAATGTTTCTTCCCACACCAACATGGCCTCTCCTGCTTACCAAGACCAGTGATGTTGGACTGGGTAGACTGAATTATTTTTAGCAACTTGTGCAGTGCTCTGAGATCGAAAGGCAGGATGAAATGATTTTATAAACGCATAAAGTGTCATCATGCAGATGGTGGCGGTGTCTGTTACTTACAAACAGCTATGAATTTCGCAAGGGAGAACAAGATGCATGTATGTATATCAATATATAAATGATTGTCCATAGTAGAATGTTGGGGTTCCTCCATGTCATATCACCCATTCTTTTGACTTTTCCCAGAACTCTCTGTTTGGTGGTAACTTGCCAAAACAGGGCTGATGGAGATATCTCTGCAGAACACCCTCATTAATGAGTGAATAAGAATGATTTGGCAGTGTCAGTTCAGCAATGCATGATTTCACAGGATCAAGCCAATATTCAGATATAAACAGGAGCCCTTGTTGTAAGCATGTGAGAATGAAATTCTGGAGCCTTCCCTATGGAAATGAGAGTAGGAGGCTGGTGAGTAAACAGCCAAAGAATGCCAGCCTTGGCCTAATCTCTCTCCCCCCCCTTTATATTTTTTAGTTCAACTTAAGTTCACTGATTTGTGCGGGGAGCGGCTCAAGCCAGCAGTGGCAGCCTAGCATTCTAAGAGGGGGTGCTAATACTCTTATGACACAGTGACATCCAAAGCAGTAGGAAAGTGCTTCGAGTGACAGGTGGCATTCTCTTTGTTACCCTGCCTTGCACATGTCTCTGACATCTCTTCATGGACACAGCAGGGCTTTGATTCCTCAGTGTTTTGTATTCATGCCCTTTCCACAGCGCTGCCACAGATCTCCAGAATGCTTGGAATTGCAGAAATTCAAAGCATCTAGTTACAAGGGAAAATGATAAATTGTTGATTAAAAAAAAATGGATGTGGTCAGGCAGTGGAAACAATACAGCTCTCTCTTGGGTTCTGGGAAGAATGCAGAAACTCACATGGGATTTTTTATTTTATTTCTCTTAATGATTTCGGTGCTGTTGTCTTCCAGTTTTTCCGACTGATCTAGGGACATTTCCTGCACTTAAGAGCAGTCTTCAAAAAGAAAAGAGGAGATTGTAATGAGCAGAGGTCACAAACATACTCTTTACCCAGCCCAGTGATATCGCTTAATACTGCAAGTGTCATTGTGCCACACTCTAGTTCAGGAGCTGGTTTTAGTATTCAGAGCGCTAATTCATTTTGCTGCTGGCAGCGCTGCATTAATGATCAAGCTACGACAATGAACACTGTCTGCATAACAAATGTGCCTTTCTCAAGCTGCAGTAAATACAAAGTGATTAACATGGAATCGCTGCTCATGCAAACTGCCTCTCTCTGCCTTTTAAAAAGATACCAGGTGCTTTTTTAAAAAAATAAAAAATAAAAATTAACCCCCTGCAAATTGTCACATTTCCTTGGGAGCAGGCTGGTATTCTTCTCTTTGCTTTCCACTAAAAGAATAAAATAAATGCATCCATTATTTCAATGGAGTTACCTTCCGGTCTTCTTTCGTCGACTCTGGTATGCTCTCTTTGGAAGGCTGCCTTTACTACATTGGATGCAAATGATTATTAATACTGTGTTCCTTGCTTCTGACATTTACCAAGGCAGAATCATCAAACAGAACTAAATCACGTCATGCTCCTTCTGGCTAGCCTAATCCTGCCCTTCTATTTGAGCTAATGGGAGGATGGGGCGGAGGCGGCCGGGGGTGGGGGAGAGAAATCAGAGCAGGTCCATGTTGCCGTTTTTAAAAGCCTTTACATTTAAGGATCACCAGGTGGTGGTCGTGATGGCGATGCACTTTTAGCATGTGCCAAGCAAGCTCCGATTTTGGATGCTCGGACCTGAAGGAAGCAAATATGCGGAGAGAGTCAGCCGCATCTCCCCCTTTTTTCCTCTCTTAATCATGGCATTGAAGTTCTGGGCAATGTCAGTGTATTATGAAAAGATGGGATTATGCTATTCTTAGAGGCAGAGACACAGTGACGGTTCACTTGTCAGGCAGTTTTCCCTTCCACATCATTTCTAGCGAATCTTTATTGAGGAAGCCCCCCGTTTGAAACGTAAAAGAAGGCTGCAGGGAGGGGGAGGGGGAGGGGACAGTAACCCTCTATTAAGCAGTTGGATATGGCTGTCTCTCAGCCACTCTATGCTCTGAAGCAATGCTGTTCACATCCTTATTGCCATCTCATTATAATGTGCCAAAAGCTTAGTCTCTCTGCTCCAGAGCAGCCTTTTAAAGACAGAGCTTTATTGGAAGAAGCGTCATTCAAAAAAGAAAAGGGGAGGGGGGGCAAGCTCTAGTATTTTTCTTTTCCCTTCCTTTTATTCTACTAAGGCACTGCTGAAGGGATTTATTACTTATATGTGCTTTTCAAGGTCTGGAATCTTTCCTCATTTAGACATAAATATAAGGCACTTTTTAATAAGCTGGCAATCAAGCTAGAAGAGCTGCCTAGCTGGTAGAACTCCTTCATCCCAGCCAGTTGAATAAAATTTCACTTAAAGATGTATTACAGACCAGACTGTCAGCACCAAGCAAACAGCCTAAACGGAATAGATTTACCTCTAACAATGAGAGGTTCTGAATTTCTGTGAGCGTGTGCATCACACGCATCATGAACGTATTTGGGGATTCCCACACCCACGATGAAGAATTGTCAAACCAAAACAAGAAGAAAGGGTTTCAGTCCTATGGATTTGCAAACTATTCAGGGTTGATTCACATATGTGTGTGCTTATTCATTTAAAGGCTTGTGAGAATGAAGCTTCAGTGCATGTGTGAATGAAATCATGTGGTTCAATAATCCCATAATCCTGAGCAGACATTTCACAACACATCACTTCATGCATGCTACTTTTTAGCAACGGGTCCACTTGCTCATGCTTGACGATGGTGAGCTTTCCTCACAAAAGTGTCCCAAAGCATCCCACAAAAACAACAAAACGCTAAAACAATGTATAACAAACAGCTAATTAAAAATCTGAAAACACAACTATACAATATCCTTGTTGCCTCGTAGCTCAGTCGGTACAGCATGAGATTCTTTATCTCAGGGCTGTGGGTTCAAGCCCTGCATAGCACAAAATATTCCTGAATTCCAGGGGTATGAACTAGTTGAACCTTGGGGTACCTTCCAACTTGGCAATTCTATATAAAAAAAAGAATGGGCCCAAAATAATATGCGGGATTTTTTCCTTGGTTCAATGTGTTTTGAATTAAGCCTGAGGAAGTTCTCCACCAATTTTCTCCCCTGCTATCCGTCTTTCCGAAATGTCATTTAAAAAAAAAATAATATTTATTATTTTTCCAAAAACTTAAACAGTAAAAAGACAATACAATACAATACATTAAATTAACAAAACAAAACAAAAACAATAAAATAAATCAAACAATTTCATTATCCCATCTTTCATTCACTTATTTCCACGACCTCCTCACACCTCCCTTTTTGTATTCCACTTCTGTTAATTATTTCAGCAATTCCTTTCCATCTTCCTCTGTTTTCTATCCTATAATTATCTTAACTCATTCTAACCTTATTTTTTCCTTTAATGCTCTATTAATCTATCTGTACTTAATTCCTTATAACATTTCTACTAAAGCCATATAACTTCATTCCAACATTTTTCTAACATTCATTAATTTTACAATATTTTTGTAGATAGTCTTTAAATTTTTTCCAATCTTCTTCCACCGACTCTTCTCTCTGGTCTCGGATTCTGCCAGTCATTTCCGCCAGTTCCTTATAGTCCATCAACTTCATCTGCCATTCCGAAATGTCATTTTGTGAAGGGGTGAGGACCTCTGGGCTGCAGGACTGCTAACAGTGGATGCCTCAAGGTTTGGCCATTCCCCTGAGATGTACACCAATTACCATTTACAGTGGAAGCATTTGTGACCTGTTAATTGAGGTTGTTAGGCTGACTGTGACCTTCCTGGATAGAGAAAGCCTAGCCATAGTTATCTGTGCTGCTCCTGGTGACTTCAAGGTTGGGTAACTGCAATGCACTTTCCATGGGGCTCTCTTTGAAGACAGTTCAGAAACTGCAGCTAGCCCAGTAAACAAGACCATATCTTTCCTGTATTGAAACGACTCCATACTGGGTCTCAATACCTACCCAAGCTCAATTCAAGATGCTGACCTTCAGCTCTAAACACAGTTTAGCACCAAGATAATTGTTGGACTATGTTCTTCTGTATCAGTCTAACATATGACCCACCCTTTGAATTGTTCTGATCAATTTCAAATGGTTTTATATGTTTTATAACACATAATTCTATAATTGCATCTATTATTATTGTAGCGCAGTCCGGGACCTCATAAATAAACAAAGCAAAAGAAGCAAACAGTTCTGGCCTTCCTCTGAGATTTTCATCTGAATCATTTCTTTTTATGCCTCTATTGCCTAAAGGGCAGTTGCTAGCATCAGACTAGGCCAGTATCAGACTTCTCTGTGTCCTTGGCTGCTGTGCCTCACCAGTACCCCTTCCACCACTATCATTTGCTGCCACCAGTCATTCATTTCACTTTGGACCAGACTGATCTGGGTGAGTGGCGCCGAGGTGCTGTTCAGTTCCAGTCCACAGTGCAATACCCGCTCTCCACATTTGATTCCCCCAAATGCAGTTCCAAACCCAATCTGGATGTTGGCTTGTCTCCCATTCTAAAGTGCTGATGCTGGACATAAAAACCCAGATGGGCAGTGGGGGATAAGGTGAGGGAGCAAAAGCATCATGCCCTGGCTCACTGGTGACAGGGGCAGCCAGGATTGCTAACTGTGGTAACATAAGTGCTAACTGACCGGGGACCATAAATTATATGACAAAAGGGTGTGATATAACTTACATAAACAAATGAATGCTTATTTGTATTAATGGGGGATCCCACAGAAGCATGAAGGCCTCACATTGCCAATCCTTCTTTTTCAAGAGAAAGAAAGGGGTGCAAGATAGCGTCAGGGCGGAATGGTGGGGACGATCTGCATGCTAATGCTGCAGACTATAGAGTTTATTCCAAACAGGACCAGAGTTTCAGAGTGGTTTGGGCCACCCTGTGCCTTGGCTTTTCAAAACAGTACACATACATAGATGTAAGCCATTAACTGATGAGGCATTCAATGCTGGGTGTATAAATGAGCCACTGGTAGTGGTAGTAATATTAGTAGTAGTAGTAGTAGTAATAATAATTTATTTATACCCCACCCATCTGGCTGGGTTTCCCCAGCCACTCTGGTATGTGTGTGTGAGAGAGATTTTTGGTGGAGGCTTATGCTCATTTTGTTCTGACTGATGAGTGCGCCTGGGTTCAGGGATGAATGTGTTTTTGCCATTTCCTGTGGTGCTTGGCTCAGTTACCTGGGGCTGCTTGCTCTGCAGTATTCCTGCTCTCTGCTTGTGGCACACAATAAGATAGATGGTATGGGATCCTCTTTGGTGGATGGATGGCCCTGCCTCACTGGAGGTTGGACTACACAACCTTTTAGTTTCTTCCAACTGGTCTGTGACCCTGTCATGGAATAAGGAACAGATACATAAATTAACCTTGCATACAATGCATGGATCACTAGGTGTCCAATTAGGGTAGCATGCAGCAAGTTTAAAACAAAGGGAAATGTTTGGTTTGAGCACACACACACACACACATTGTGAAACTTACTGCCTCAGGATATGCTGAAGATTAATAGTGTAAGATTTCAAAGGCGGTGAGGTTAAATTAACACAGAGTAGGTCCAGCCTTGGCTATTAATTAAGAAGATCACAGTCAGGTTCTTCTGATTTAACATAGCAGCTGCTCAGTTTGCTGAAAACAATGAGTTGTTGCATATTTTAGTTTTGCTATGCAGAGAGGTTATTCAGTTGAAAGCAACATTGTGGAGGGGAGTTTTTTCATGATCTTCATTAGCAGAGATGGCACTAAGTTTGTCGTACACTTTGTTGTTTAGGGGCTTGCTGAGCTGTGAGAAAATGATAAGGACAATGACAGAATATGAACTTAAAAAAAAAAAAAAAAAGGCTGAGCAGAGCACCAGCATATTAAGTGACTTTGAACAGTTTTAACCCAAGAGTCTACAGTGGTTCATGAGATGGTTTGCTGGAAGCTACCAGTATTCATTGCTGAGCACTTCTGCATCAAGGTGTAGGGAGTGGCACCCTGGTTGGGAAGCATCACAAGATGGCAGCAGAGGCACAAGTGAAGTGTTTTCTAGGGTGCCCAGTGCAGGCAGGAGCATTGATTCGCACTTGAAAGTTGCAGAGCACGGGCCTATGACATATTTTGCATATGTTACTTTATATGCATAGAGTCGTGTACATGATTTTCAGAGGGAAGCAAGCAGACTCCAACCCTTGCTCTCTGAGTTTATTCTTAGGTTAGGGATGCCAACAGGATTTTCTGAGCCCAGGATAATATGGGATATTAATTTGTCCTTGGGGGCAAATTAAGATGGTGGGGGATTGGGTCTCTCACAGTGCTGTGCTTTTCAGTCTGCCAGCCATCCTGTAAGCCAGATGTGGGGAGCCTATGACATGGCTGATGGCCAGGGATGATGGGAGTTGTAGGCCAGCAACATCTGGAGGGCCAAAGGTTTCCCATACCTGCTATAAGCAAATGTGTTTTTCCAAGTTTGTTTTAAAAAGGGGGGTTGGATGAGGGAATCCTTGGTCCATGGGATAGGACTCAGGTCCTAGACCCACCTTAGCTACCTCAACACCACCTCTGGGTACAGGCCTCTGATGCCATGGACTGTACCTTAGTAGGCTCTGCAAAACTTTCAGTGTCTCTGCTGAGCTAAGAGACCTTATATCTCTGCAGGCATACCAACTCTGCCCACTTCCTTCACTCTGCAGTGGGTACTGATATATTCCAGAGACGTGGTCCAAGCATTTGGAGGTTTAGTTTGATGTTATGACAAGAATAATGCTCCCTCACTCTTCACAACAACAACAACAACAACAACAACAAAAGACCCCTACCTGTTGAATTCATTGTTGCCATTCCTTGAACTTTCCCACAAAGACTCTACTAATGAACTTTGGCTCGATTATCAAAGTTACATAGCTGCAGTGCTGTGCTGTTGGAGAAATTTGTCCTTGCAATATAGTCCAGTTTTTTAAATACTACAACAGCTTTTGTATATCTGAAAGCTTCTCATTGAAACATCAGCCTTTGTATATAGATTATCTCAAGTAATATTTTGCTCAAAACCAGGAACAATAAATGCTACTTTCCTGATAACACACTGCTGAGATTACGGACTATAAATGTAAAACTTGGGAAGAAAGAAAAATTATCTTCAGCTTGTTTTCCTTCTAAATCTTCCATTACTCACAGTGTCGTAGCAGGACTGAAGTTACACTACTGGACAATGAAATGGTTTTAACACACCTCTAATTGTTCTGAGCTATGAAATCCCACAAGAACCGCAAAATATCTTTCCTGTTTGCTTAGTGGGATGAAGTTCCAAGAAGAAAAGCCTCGAGGAGTGTCAAGGCAGAAGACTGAGTGTGACCAAAATGTGAAAGAAACCAAAGCAGTGTTTTTTTGTTATGCAAGAACAAAGCAAGAAACATTCAGCAGGGAGCTCAATTTCCTGACAGTGTGCTATGAGAAGGAGTGTCCTCTTACCAAGTCTTCAAAAAAAATAAAAGAAAAAACCCAGCCAGCATTGTCCCTCATTAGAACTGTTTGTCAAAGAGGCTTGGATTGTTAAGTGCAAGTGACTGATAATGCAAAGTGGGGGGTGGGGTTTAAATTCAGGCATAACAGATATCCTGGTTCTTCAATTATTATTTTTAACAAACGGCTCTGGGAATGGTAATCACTTTGATTCTATGGAGAATGGCTTAACCCTTTTCCATGCTGCTTTCCCAACATAACCTCCCACCTCCCATGTACTATTTGCACTGTGAATACTAGGTTGGGGAGTGGGGCTTAAGCCCCTCCACTAATGCCACAGTAGTCCTGATCCACCTGCCCCTGCAGCTCCCTTTTAAAATAAACAAGCAAAATTTATTTGCTTATTGTATGATCATACATCTCCAGTGGCTTGTCTGATTTGTTCCTCCCTGTTCATGAGATCATCTT